TGGGGACACAGATCTTCAGGGGGGACCTGAATAGGGACTCACTCAGGCCAGGCTGTGTGAAGGGGCTGGGAATGGCAGGAGGCCAGGGGTCAAGGAGCTCCCCAACATGCCCAGTGGCACTTCCAGGCTGAGGCTCCAAGGCCTGGAGAGGCCTGAGCAGCCGAGGGGGATGGGCCGGCTCCTGAGCTGCCCTGGCAGGTCAATAACAAAACAAACGCACTATTGACCAACTGCCTCGCACTAAATCCTCCCGGCAGACAAGATGATGTGAGCCCAAATCGACTGCTGAACTTATAACCCGCTCAGCCCTGCCCAGCCGGCAGCCAGAGGAGGCAGGGGTGGGGGGCAAGGCCTCCCCTCATCCCAGGATGGAGGGGCTGCACCTACACCCATTGCACAGATCGGGTCCCTGGGAGTCAGGCACAGGGACAGTAGCCCGTTGGGTGCATTTGGGCAGCACCCTCAGGGAACGGGGGTTTTGGAAGCAAAGCGCAGAAACCCCAGATGCTCAAATTAGGAGGTCAGCTGATCCAGCTCTTTTGTTTTTAAGAATTACATCACTTCAGATAAATATGCAAACATACACGTGGCGCCCCTCTAAATTACAGAGCGTAATGATAAACCACACTCTGAACCCACCATGCAAATTAAGCCCAGCAGTTAAATGCCCTGACTGCTGGGTTAAAATACCAGCCGCACCACTTCCTGTTGTGTGGCCCTGGGCATGTCACTTTACCTCTCTGTGCCCAGGTCTCCACAACCATAAAATGGGGGTAATAAAGAGCACCCCACCCTGCCGTGGGTATAGGGTTGTTCTGAGGATGAAATAAGATTCTGAAGCACCAGGACCACAGGAAGAGGTGACTGTTCTCAGAACTGGGGGTTTATTTCTTCCTTGTTTTCTGTCGCAGCCTTATCCCATGTGTGGTTCAGGGCTCTCTCACCTGGTCTTCTGAGGGTCTGTGAATCCCCAGACTCCTGTGTAAACCCCAAGACTCCCGTGTAAATATCTGGTAGGGTTCATATGTTCCAGGAAGCGGATCAGATTCTCAAGATGAGCATTGCAAAAGTGGAGACCCCTGATCCGTCCCAACTGCCCCATTGGATGAAGGGTTCTAGGGCCCAGAAGGGGGTAGAGCCCCGCCCACAGTCAGTTGGCAGCAGAGCCAGGAAGCAAAGCTGCTGGTGGCTCAGAGCCACATGTAGGGAGCTGAGGAGGGGGCCAGAGACTTCACACTGCAGGTTTCTGGGGGCCATGGGCCCCTCGCACAGGCCCCTGGGCTGCCTGATGTTGAGCACCTATTGTGTGTCGATGGCATCTGGGTGGGACCAATGGGCCATCTCCTGCCACTGCCACCGCCACCGTCTTATGGTCTCTGCAGATGCCCCTTGCCCCTCTACTCTCCTCTCTTTCAGAGGCAGCACAGGCCAGGGTTCCCAGAGATCTGCCTTTGAACCCTACTTGCCATCTTCTGGCTTTTGCTCTGGCCAGGTTAGTCCGCCCCCGAGGGCCTCAGTGGGCATTGGACAGATGGACAGAACAAAACTGGGAGGCTTGGGGAGGATTAACCCAGGTCATATGTGGTGCTTATTAACTTCTTCTCAGTTAGCACTAGTTGCCACCCAGCCCGGGGACAGGAGGCAGCCCCAAGACGGCCCCAGTGCACATCTGCGGCTGGGCTGTGAGCCTGTGTGGTCTGGCGCATCAGATGGAGTGTGAGTGCGTGTGTGTGCGTGGGTTCTCGCCTCCTAAACACAATCCTCGGGGAGTAAAAGCAGGGCCTTGGCAAGGTAAACACTGCAGCTTCCTGTGGGGAAGCCCGGGAGACTCAGGAGGGGAGCTGTGGGGGACCCTGAACCTTGCAGGAGCCAGAGCCATGGCTGGGACCTGGGTCTGGCCAGGCTATCTCTGGCCTCTGGGGTTGGAGGGCTGGCTGGGCTGAGAATCAGGGGAGTGCCTTCGAGGTCCAGGCACCGTAAAGGGGAGGCCCACATTCCCATCCTGACTACACCTGGGGTGACCTGACCTATCTGCCTAGCCAGTCAGCGCGATGTTGGAGGGAATACCTCCTCCCACTCTAGTCCTGCCTCATCCCAAGGAAGAGTCATCTAGAATGTCACAAGTAGAGTGAAGCCAGCACAGGGCAACTGTCTCCTTTTATGATGGAGAAACTGAGGCACGGAGAAAAGTATGACTTTCCTAAGGCCCCAGAATCAAGTTTGTGAGGGTGAGTCCTTCACTTTTTCGACCTCCTGAATTCCTTTTTTTTTTTTTAAAGATTTTATTTATTTATTCATGAGAGACAGAGAGAGAGAGGCAGAGGCAGAGGCAGAGGGAGAAGCAGGCTCCATGCAGGGAGCCTGACATGGGACTCGATACGGGGTCTCCAGGATCACACCCTGGGCTGCAGGCGGCGCTAAACCGCTGGGCCTTAGGGACTACCCTACCTCCTGAATTCCTATGCATCCTTCAAAGCCCCAGCTCTGGGAGAACTTTTCCTGATCCCTGTGCTCTCACCTTCAAGGTCTGCAATGGCAGCTTTCTTTCATTTTTTAAAAATATTTTATTTATTTATTTGAGAGAGAGCAAGCACGAGCAGGGAAAGAAGCAGAGAGAGAAGGAGAAGCAAACTCCTCACTGAGCAGGGAGCCCAACTGGGGACTTGATCCCAGGGCCCCGAGATCATGACCTGGCTTACAGCAGACACCCAACCGACTGAGCCACTCAGGCACCCCATGGAATGGCAGCTTTCTGTGCCAAGCCCTTGCTGTGTCCCCTCCGTGCCTGTGGGATCCCACGTGACTCTCAGAACAACTGTGGGAGAGAGGACCTGACCTTGTGGTGTAAAGGAGGAAATGAGCTCAGAGAAGTTCAGTTTCTGACCGAGGACACACAGCAAGTAGGGATGGACAAGCGACTCTGACGTCACCTCTGTGCCCTCAGCCTCCCTCTCTGCATGCACTCCACTGCAACCCTTCTCACTTCCCCGAGCTGGGCTGTCCTCAAGGGAGGACCCACAGCCTTTCAGTTCATCCAGATGGTCAGACTCCCTCTCTCCCAGAAGCCAGACATTGTTAAACTGCCTTGTAGATATCGAATCAGATCACTCCCAGGATCCCGGAGCTTGGGGTGGGGAAGGCTATAGTTGCCACAGTGATCTCTGGCCTCACTCTGGGATCCCGAACACCTCCCCCTTTCCATCTTGGGAACCTCCTGCATGGTCAGAGGGGATGCCATGCTGGGGCCCAGGGGTTACTGCCCCATAAGATTAGTTGGGTTCTTGAATTCCCTGGGGCTGAAAAGGGAGGTGTGGGATCCCAGCCATCTGCCAGGTTGAGAAGGGGTGTCGAGGCCTTGAGGAGGCCTGGTCTCCCACGATGGCCCCAGAAAGCACTTCACCTTGGGCTTCTGCTACTCAGAGAAAATGGGAGGCAAGGCTGACCCACAGGGGGGTTAGAGGGGGCCCGCCCAGGAATCTGGCACTCTGCACAGGCTGGGCCTCGCCCTCCCGATGAGCTCCTGTCACTGGGTCTTAACAGAACCCACCTTTGCCCTGGTGGCCCTCCTGGGTCTGAACCATTCCCAGGCTACCATCTAAAGGCTGACACTTGGAGCACCTCATTTGAGTGGGCCCCAGTCACAATCCACTATCGTGTTCATTCCCTAGATGGTGAAACTGAGGCTCAGGGAAGCTGAGTCACCCAACCTGGGCTGGTCGGTGGCAGAGCCCCAGGCAGGCTCAAACAGAGGCTCTGGCAGAGGTTGGATGGATCATCGGGCCCTGCTGCTCCCACCCTAGAGGGCTGGATTCTTGTCCCATTCCATCCTGATTTGAAAGGGCAATCTTGTGCTCCCGAGAGGCAGGGGGACAGCAAGGTCCCGAACCCGGCCCTGGGCTGTGGGAGGCTGGAGGGCCCACCCAGAGGTCCTGTTGCTCCCTGTTCTCACTGCCTCCTCGCTGGTGCCCCCCACCCACACACAGGCATCTCCCTGAAGCACTGACCCTGCCAGTGGCCTCCTCGCCCTGGGGCCCTGGTGAGACTACAGAGGGCCTCCACCCCTGACCCCAGTGACCATCTAGCTCCTGACCCAGTCTCCTGTCCCCCACTCTCCCTGTGCCCCTTGCTCTTTCCAACCCAACCTGTAGATCTCTTCCTCATCAAGGCTCCACGATCCCACTGCAAATGCCTCCCCCCACTGAGGTGTCCCCAGACCCTCCATTTCCGGGCACCAAAGGCACCCCTCCCTGCATGCTGGTGTAGCAGCTCCAAGGGTGGGACAGCTTAGGACAGGACTGGAGGCCCCCAGGTCCCCAGAGCAGCCTAGCACTCTGATCCCTGATCTGTCTCCAGGACCCAGAGCAGTGCCTGGCAGGTCACAGGCTGGCCATATGCTCTGGGTGAAGGAATGAATGAACGTTTCCTCTGTGCTGGGCCCTGGGCTGGCGCTGAGGATTGAGAGAGAGCTGACTTTGAGATTTTATTTATTTATTTATTTGAGAGGGAGAGAGAGAGAGAGAGAGAATGAGAGAGAGAGAGAGAGAGAGAGAATGAGAGAGAGAGAGAGAGAGAGAGAGAGAGAGCGAGCATACAGGCAGGGGGAGGGGTAGAGGGAGAAGCAGACTCCCCACTGAGCGGGGAGCCCCCCATGGAGCTCAAACCCAGGACCCCGGGATCATGACCTGAGCTGAAGGCAGAGACTTAACCGACTGAGCCGCCCAGGCGCCTTAGGGAGAGCTGACTTTGGTGTTACTGCTCTAAGCTTTCAGACAGTATCAGCTCATTTAATTCCCACACAGCCTTTGGTAGTAAGCACAACCGTCATCCCCATTTTCCAGAGGAGGCAGCTGAGGGTCAAGTGAAATTGCCCAAGGTCACACAGCTGGGAAGAGGCAGGCCCTTCCTGTCTGCTGCAGGCAAACCTGGGACGACAGGGGAGGTGGGTACCAGAGCGGAGGCTGTGAAGGTGCGGCCAGGAGGGAGCAAACACTTGCCCCCCCCCCCCCCCCCGCTTTAGCAGATACACTAGCCAACCCAGGGAGGTGGAGAGAGACCTGCTCCAAGGAAACAGAGTGGCCAGATAGAACAAATAAAAAGACCAGATGTCCAATTAAATTGGGGTTTTAGATAGAAATAACCAATAATTCTTACAGCATAAGTATATCTCATGTGATCTTTAGGACTTACTTATACCAAGAAAAAGTGTCTGAAATATACATTTAAGGGAGCTCCTATATTTTATCTGCCAGCCCTGTGAAGAGGTGGAAAGGACCTTAGGAGTTGAGCGCTGGGCTGTTGTGTGAGATTCAGCCCACTTTGAAGCGAGAGAAACTGAGATCCAGAGCAGGCTGAGGCTTGTTAATTGACAGAGCTAAGGCGGGAGCCAAGACCTGGACTCCCATCCCTCTTACTCAGTGGGCTGCCCTGGGAGGCCAGGCCTGGTGTCGCCCCCACCCCACAGCTCAGCAGAGCTGCCCTGGCCCCTCTGCCAGGTGCCTGCTGCAAGCCACAAATCACGGGGTGCGAGGGGCTCATCCTGCTTGGCCTCCCCTCCACCATCCCTCTCCTGCTGCTCTGCCCATGCTCATCTCCTCGGCTTGGGGCTAAGACTTCCTCACACAGGAGGATCTGCACGGAGTGAATTTTCACAGTTGGGTTATCACCTCCTAAAAATAGGGCTGAATGATGGATGGGAGCTGTCGCCAGGCCCTTGAGCTACGGGGCATGGGAGTGAGGGAGGGGGATGGGCCAGGGTGAAGGGTCCATAGACACCCTGGCCAGGGCCGTCAATCCCAGGGTGACTCCCTGGCCCCGTGTGGGCCTTAACCCACCTTCCCTGGCAGTGAGGAAGCTGCTGTGTGCTTGAGGTCTTCAGAGCTGAGTCTGAGCCTCTGGGAGGAGCCACCTGGACAACACCAGGCCAAGCGATTCATCTGCACAACTGGTGCCCCTGCCGAGCAGCCAAGAGGGTCTGAATTCAGGTAGGGGTGCGGCCATGCCTGGGAATCAAGGACCTTGTCATAAGGCTGCCCTGCCTGCTCCCTTCCCCAGCTGTGTCCTGTTCTTCATTGTTTTAGCTTCTTGGCTTTCTCTCTCTCTCTCTTTTTTTTTTAATATTTTATTTATTCATGAGAGACAGAGACACTGAGAGAAGCAGAGACACAGGCAGAGGGAGAAGCAGGCTCCATGCAGGGAGCCTGATGTGGGACTCGATCCTGGGTCCCCAGGATCACACCCCGGGCCAAAGGCAGGTGCCAAACCACTTAGCCACCCGGGAATCCCCTAGCTTCTTGGCTCTTAAAGACTCATCAGTCTGGCTTCAGGATTCAGGTTGTTGAGAATCTGTAGAGACGTGGCTGGGCTTCAGGCTGCAGATGGGAAGGTGGGGGGCACGGGGGCTCCTTGCCTTCCACACACATACATACACACTCAGCCCAGGCAGTGATGGACACACAGACACACACCTCTCTCCCTTGGTCTGTGGAGACACTAATATTTAAGCATGGGTCTGGGTGTCAGGACTCCAGGTGGTGTCCCTGTTCATCACTGCAGTCACCTAGCACTGGGCCAGCCTTCCTGAGGGAGGACCCCAACACCCCATAGCAGGCTTGGGCCTCTGGCTGCCCAGGAGCCCAAGAAGGCTGCTGCTCAGCCAGTTGAGCCAAGAGCTTCCGGAGGCAGTGGATGAGCTACAAGAGACCATTCTGGCTCCGATGGTGGCAACAGCATGTATGTTTAGACCCTCAGCACTTCTGAGGATTGTGGCTAAAGCTGGCTGAGCCTCTGTGGGCCTGTGCCTGGCCTCCTTCTCCCAGGTTCTCCTCAGCTGGGGTCCCAGGGACTCCCTCCACACTCCAGGCCTGGGAGGTCCCCTGTTGTCTCTGGGAGGGGCCTGTCCCACAGTCATGCCTGCAAGTCCTCAGGTTAGCACAGAACACCCTCCAGGTGTGCCCAGTGACAGTCCTCCCCTTGCCTCCTCATGCTCTGTGCACTGCCCAGCCACAGATGCCAAAAAGACACCGCCCCCCAGGAGATAGGCATACTGCTCTGCACATGTCCGAGATGTGTGACCCTTGGCCTTGGTCCCTTCTCCAGCCCAAAGCCCGCCCCACCCTGTCCCATCTGCATCTGTTGGCCAATACTCTCTGGGGGTGAGGCGTCCTCGGAATTACGATATTAAATGCAGCTGCACCGAAACATGGCCTCAATCCAATTATGCCAGGAAACAAGAGGAGCCGCTTAGGCTAATCCGGTTATTCCGCCCCGGCTTCCCTTGGCAGCCCCGTAGGGATGCCCAGGAGGAGCAGCCGTCTGGGTGGGCAGCAGCAGGACCGAATGCCTGTCCCACTGCGATCTGCCAGGTGCACACAGCTCCTGCTGGCAGGGAAGCCATGGGGCCGTGGAGATGCTTCTTGGCTCCCAGCCGGGTGGGAGAATCCATCGATCATCCTACAAATGCTTCCTGAGCTCGGAGCTTCCAAGTGCCCCGGCCTCATCTGGACAGGGGAACCTGGCACTGAGGGGAGAGCCGAGGCTCTGCCCTCAGGGAGGGTACCTGGAGCCGGGGAGACAGGCCAAGAGTAAAGCCGAAGGTGGTTTCAGATCAGTGATGGCAGGGAGGGAGAAGCCCAAGAGCGGGTGACACGGAAGCCAAAGCCCAGGCCAGCCATGGGGGGCTGTCTGGCAGAGAGAAAAGCAAGAGCCCAGGGTGGGGAAGGATCGGGCAGGCTCCGAACGGATGGGGGACCGAGAGATCGAGTGCAGGCTGGGAGGGAGCGCAGCTCTGCTCTCGGGAGGTGGATGGGTCTGGGCTGTGGCATGGGGGTGGCACGGCTAGCCCCAAGCAGGGGAGGGTCAGGGCAGGGTGGGAGCTGCAGGTGGACAGGACAGAAGTTGTACCGAAAGGATTTATTTCCTGGTGACCATGTTGGGGATGAGGGTGTGGGAGGCCCCACAGCCTCTCCTTGCTCCCACCAAAAAAGCCTGGCAGTCCTTGCAGTGCTTTGTGATCACGGGGGCTCGCCCACCACTGGTGGGTACCTTGGAGCACTGCGGAGGCCTGAGGCTAACAGACTGGCTCTGCCCTCCGGAGGTTGCACTTCAGGGAGGAGACAGATCTGGAGCAAGAGCTTACCCATCTGCAGGAAGGGGAGAACTATGGGGAGGTTGTGCAGGGGCAAAATCCAGGCCAGGCTGGGGCGAGGGGGATCGGGCATAAGAAGAGGGCGGGGGGCAGTACATTCAAAGGCGGGGAGGGGTTAGAGTGTGGCTGTCCCACCCAGACCACTGAGGACCACTGAGACCCCGGAACAGGCAAGCAGGAAGCAGGAGCTGAGAGCTGGGGCTCCAGGTGGGTGTTAGGGCTGCTCATAGAGCCAGGTGTGGGTGGCCTGGGTCAGAGCAACTGCAGGACTCCCAGAGGAGGGCAGAACAGGAGCATGGTGTGCTCATCAGCCCGGTCACAGCACACAGCCTGTGGGGGGCACCCCACGGGGCTCCCCAACTCTCCCCAAGTCCCCACACCAACATTACCACAGTCTGCTTAAGGTCTACACTTAATGATTCTTCTCCACTCAGTTGCCATGAATCTGTTGATCCCAGGGTGTCCTGCCTGTTGGGGACTCAGGGACATCACAACACAGGGGTCCTGGAGTCTGAGCTGTACGGGTGTGGACTGTGTCTGGTGTTCACCGGGGCCTCATGCTTCTCCCCTTGAGCCCAGCAGGAGAGGGGGTGGCCCAAGCCTGTTCCTGGGTGGAAGTTGGCAGCTCAGCACCCCTGACCTCAAGGTCCCAAGCCAGTTGGACAGGGCTGTGCTTCTCCCCATCTGCCTCCTCAAGCAGCTGAGAAGCCAGAAAGAGGCACAGGGTCCGTTCTCCCCAACTCACAGATGGGAAGATTTGAGGCCATAGTCCCAGGGGCTACTTGAGGAGGAGCTGGGGCCCGCAGTGGGGAGTTGTACATCTCACCGGACTCCAGGCCCTCTCCTGGGCACCACTTTCCACGTGGTGTGTTAATGGCTGTGCAGTCCCCATAGCTGTGTCAACAAATCAACCATCCACAGAGTCGGCACCACCTCCCAGAAACAGATTATAAAGTGGGAGCTCCTTGGGGTCCCGGGCTGGAGCCGAGGGGCTGGGGGCAGGAATGGGTGGGGATCTCTGCCTGCCATGTGCACCCCCCCAGAGGGGTCTGGCCAGCCTGTGGATCAGGGGAGCTGTGCTCATCTCCCCAGGCCCCTCCTGGCTGTCAGACCTGGAGCCCCCTCTGGGAGGAAGATGATTTGGGAAGACAGCATGGAGGGCTGGGAACAGGTGATGGTGGGAGGAAGCCAGGCCCTGCTCAGTGCAGGCTGAAGTGATAATTGGGGCTTGGGGGCAATGGGGAGCTGGGCCAAGTGACTAAAACGCTGGGCTGGGGCCGAGAGCCAGTCCTGGGGAGTGAAAGAAGGCCAAGAAAATCAGAGCTCAAGGCCAAAGTGGGGTTCACGTTCAGGTGAGATGCAGGGGCCAAGGGCTGAAGTGTGCCCTCTGGGTGTGGGCACTAGGTGGGAGGGGGAGGGTCCCCGGCCTGGAACCCTAGACCTCAGCTATTCTCCACCCTGTAGGCTCTGGGCACCCCATGCAGGGCAGGTGGGGGCTTAGGGTGTCCCAGGGGCTAGCTGCCCCTTTGAGAGGAGTCTGGGGGGTTCCTGGACCTGGGCATCTGAGAAGGTTGAAGACCCCCCACCTCGCCCAGGCCTTCTTCCCTCAGCTCGGATTCTACCAGGACCCAGAAAGCACCAGCACTCAGAGAGGGGCCATGCTGCGCCCTCCACCGGGCACTGCTTTCCTCCCCTACCCCAGCTGTCCTCAGCCCGACTTCTCTCCCTTTATCTTCTCTCCTAGATGCGATAGCTCCATGTGCTATTTGCACCTCCAAGCACTGAGTGCCGGCTCCACTTCCCTGGCATCTTCCCATTCACGAGCCTCTGGACAGCATCAGTATCCTGGCTGACAGGTGAGGAAGCCGAGGCTGAGAGCTGAAATGACCCGACATCAAAAATCAGTAAAAAGTAGGATTTGAACCCAAGCCTGCCGGCTTCTGAGCCTGGCCTATTCCACCCTACCAAATCCCCTTCTCTTGATCCTCTCTTATGAGGTTGTATTTCTGTAAGCTGCCGCAAATCCTTCAGGACGAGATGGGAATAAATAAATAAATACATAAGTAAATAATGAGAGGTTGCAGCCAGATGCCCACACCCGGTCACAGCCTGGAGCGGGAGTCAGTGAGGATGGGACTGTTTTCAGGTCCTGCTGCTAGTGTGTGTGCAGGACAGGGAGGTCTCGAAGCTCCCCAGCCCTAACACTGAGGCTGCAGAGCTCAGGGGTGAGTTAGGAGTGAGGGTGGTGGCACCTGCCAGGGTGGAGGGAGGGCGGGAGTGTGGCCAGCACTGGCCTGGCTGGGATGTGTGCACAGTATGTGTGGTTTGGGAGGACTGCCTGGCTCCTCTGGGGCTACTCACTTCTCAAAGCCCAGACCCTGTTATCATGCAAATATGTTGACACATTAATCCTTCCACCCCTGTAAGCCTTCCACAGGAGGATTAGCTCAGCACTTGCAAGGGACAGAACTGAATCCCCAAGCAAGAGGACATGGGTAGGCCAGCACAGACTGGAGCAGAGGGTGGGAATGGCTGGTGCAGTTGGAGGGAGGCCAGATTCAGGTTCCCCAATCCCTGGGGGTCTGAAGAAAGGACTCAGATTCCTGGTGGGGGGTCACCAAAGTATAAAAGAGGCCCCCAAGGGTAGGCTGCCCCCTCCAACACCTTGGTTTTAGCTCTGTGCCAGAGCGTGGGGCAGCCTCAGCTAAGGCAGGAGTTGGCGACAACCCGCTCTTCAGGGCAGAGTGGCCCCAAGTGCAGAGCTGTGGGGAATCTTATTACATAGCTGAAGGAGAGAGGTGCTGTGTTCAGGCCCAGCTTTTACTGGTCCCTCAGGAGGTGGGCCGGAGGTGAGGCAGGATGGTGGTATCTGCTAGAATCTGAAGCTTGTCTCTCCCCATTCTGCGTGTAGCTGTTTGAGTTAGTGCCTATGTGAGCATGTGCATGTGGGAGGATGTGTGCATCGTGCACAGGTACATGTGTGCACGAGCACGCTCACCTTCCACAATCCGAGATTATTGCAGCCTCCCTGCCCCTCCTCCAGCCTCCACTTCAGGCCAAAGGGACTCAGCCTCGGAAGGTGACACGGCTATTTCCGCTGGATGCCTGCCAGTGGCAGCATGGGGGGTGTGTGGGTGTGTGTGCGTGTGTGCGTGCTAGGGAAGGATGCTAGGAAGGGATGCTTCTGTCCCCCAGTGGAACAAAGGGGTCTCTAGGTCCTCCCCTGCTTCTTTGTTGCCTGAGCCAGCCCAGCTCCCCCTTCCCTCTCTGTGACACTCCCTCCCACCTTAGACAGGACCTGGAAGGTGGCCGAAGTTGCAGGGGACAGTGGGAGGAGTGACCTAGGCAGCTCTGGGTCAAAGGGCCTGTGCTTGGGTCATCCCTGCTGACCTCTAGAGAGCTCCCGGGCAGTTTCTTCACCTCTCTGAGCCTCATTTTCACATCTGTAAAATGGGCGCACATTGCTAACTCAGGAGAGTGCCTAGGAGGGACCCAGCATGTGGTGGTGGGAACCGTGAGAACGGTGACAGTGACAAGGCCACTTAGGAGGGAATCAGCCAGGAGGAAACAGGGTTGTGCACAGGGGCTGCTCTGTCCACGTGCTTCTGCCACCATGTCCCATGCCTTGGGAGCCCCGGCAGTCTTCCTTATCCAGCCAGACTGAGCAAACCCAAAGCAGAGTGAAGGAGGGACCCTCCCCAAGGTCCAAAGAGGTGAAGGGGGGGATCCTATGTAGGTACCATGTTAACCCTTTACATTACCATGTCAGCTCACAGCAGTGGGTCCCATTTTATAGACTGTCCCATTTTACAGATGAGAAGACAGGCTCTGAGAGGTTTCATTGCTTGCACAAGACCCCCCAGCATATCTGGGATTCAAGCCCAGCAGCTGTGCCCCAATGTGGGGTGGTCAGGGTGCCAGGCACAGAGGGCAGCTGGCCAGGGCCTGAGTGCACACGCAGGGTGCCCAGGGCTGCTCCCATGGCAGTGGGGGCTGGTGGGCAAGGTGAGGCTCTTCTGGAGGCAGTGCTGTCCCTGGGGACACACGGTGGCCCTGCGGAGGCAGTTCCTGCTCGAAGCCAATCCTGTCCTGTTTAATTTTGAGCTGAAGTGCAAACAAGCTCAGTGCCCCACTGCTCCCACCCCAAATCAAATTCACTGCTATGATTTCTCTGCGGGCGGCGGCCTGCCTTCCGGGGAGGGAGAGTTAGGGGAAGGATGGCACCAGGGCTAGTGGGCAGGAGCCGGCAGGGATCAGACCATTTGTCTGGGGGCAGCTGGCTTGGATGGCCGGGATCTTCCACCCAGATTAAATTTTAACCCAGCTCATAAATCTTCCAAGTCTGTCCCCTGCCACCCACCCGCCGGGTCTACCACTAGCTGTAGCCTAGGCAGGCCCTGGGACTGCCTGGTCCGGTGTTCTGGGGCCACTAGTGCGTAGACCAGCCAGGGGTCCCACTGGCCATCAGCCACTCGGGCTGGCTCTGTTCCAGGCTGAAGCTTGTTGTCATCAGCCCATGGCCCTGAAGGCCAAGGCTAGGGTTCCAGTGGGGCCTTCAGTGGGCTCCACTGTTGGACCCACCCAGGTTCAAATCACGGCTCCACCTTCCACCAGGCAGGACCAGCTTAGGTCCCTTGTACATAGGGATGTGCGAAGGAGTAAGGGAGGTGATGTGATAAAGCCCTGGGGCCAAGGAAAGGGGGCTCCTCAGGGGCCACCACCAACCCGGGCCCATCAGAGAGGCAGCCTGGGTGCACCTGCCAGTCCGCACAGCCCCTGCTCCCACCAGATGGCGAAGTGGCCTTGTCTGCACCAGAGGGCTGGGAAGCCCACAGACCTCCCTCCTTTGGTCCCCTCCCCCAGAGCACTGGGGGGCAGGCATTTTGGGTGTGACTGGAGATGGGTCTGGCTGGGAGCCTGCATGGACAGTGTGAGCCCCCAGGGCTGGGCTGGGGAATGAAGGGCTGGTCTCCCTACCCCAGACCCCCAGGTCCCCAGGAAGGGTTGGCAGGAAGCTTTCCTTATTTATCTGCTGTTTTATGGAGGTAGAAGGTACACAATCAGCCACACCAACCGAGGCGTACAGCTTGGGAAATTTTACACATCATGTGCCCTGTGACCATCTCCCGCTCAGAGGATAGAACATTCCTGTGTGGCCCCATATCTCCCCTCCCCCAGCTTTCTACTCTACAGTACAACCCGTGCCTCCTCTCCATGCTCCCCTGTGGCACCCCACTTCCCCTCGGGATGAAGTCCAGACCCCACACCCCAGCTAAGGGCACCCCCCGCACCCACCACCCTCCCCTACGTGGGCTTCTCTCCGTAGCTGCATGAGGTCAGCCTTCTCCTGCCTGCTGACTCCTGCTCAGGCTCCAGGAATCAGACTGTACACGCTCCATCCACGTTTAGGGAAGAAAGGGGAGGAGGTCATGCCCACAGTGCAGGGGACAGCACTGAGGGCTCCGTGGCATGCCCAGGTCCCCAGGCAGCACGAGAGCAGTGGTAGGACTTGCAGCCTCTCCCTCTGCCCGTCCTATGACATCTGCAGCCCATGGGAGAGACCTGCCAACTCTTCCTGACCCTGCAGGGGCTGACATCATCCACTGCCCACCATGAAAGGGGTGTGCGGAGGCAGCCAGGGAAGCCTTTGCCATGTGAGGCCCCTTCTCCGGCCCAACCCCCCATCTGCTGGCTGTCACCTCCCTGGAACATGTCCGGTCCTCACGTGGGGTGCGTGGCTCACCTCAGTCCCATTCCTCAACTTTCACGAACCCCGGTCCACCTCCCTGTGCTGCTTTTAACCCCACCTGGTGGTGGCGGCCACTCCATTACCTCCTGGGGCGGCTGCCATGATGATCTACACCCCCCCAAATGCATATCTGTCCTCTGCCAACGGCGCACAATTAACATTCCCACCAGTAAACGATGCAGGCCATATTTCACCCGCACCCAAGTGTGGACCACAAAGGCATTAACATAAATGATGGTGCAGTTAAGTGGGGCCTGGATTTGCATGTCTGGCAGCAGCGCACCTGCACGGGGCTTGCAGGCCAGGAAAGCTGCACAGCCTGTCTCCTTGGAGCCTCCGCCCCAACTCGGTGCCCAGAGCTGAGCCCTCTGCCAGGACCCCAGGGACACAAGGAAAATAAGCCTGCTGCGATCCTCTCCCAGATGGAGGTGGATGCTGCTTCTGCTGCCTGGGGAGGGAATATGGGTGTGGACTAGGGCATTGGGGTCACACTTCACGGCGCTCCCCACCCAACTTCCCTGCTCCCCTTCCACACACTGCCTGGCCTTCCCAGATGAGGTCAGCCCCCGACAGCCTGGGCTCTGTTCTCCCCAGGGCTCCCACTTAGGGGCAACAGGGAGGGGTCCCTGGGGGTGTCTGACTCCCACCCAGCAAGCTGTGTTCTTGGGAGCCAGGACAGGCTGGGTCAAGCTGGGCATGCCCCCCACCATCACCACCCCTTGCTAGAGCTTAGGCTGGGAGGCAGGGACCCAGGTCCCAGGCCACAGATGCCCCAAGGTGACAGCAGCCAGCAGAATGGGGACAGCGTCAAGCCAACCTGGATGGGGATGGCTGGAGGCTGGAGGGGAGGCTAGACTCCTGCCCAGCAGGGCCTTCTCCCTATGGTGATCCAATGACCACTTCCCTTGGGCTGTTTTGGAAGTGAAGTGGGGGCAGGCTAGGACAGACGAAGGCTTAGCTCCTCACTTCTGGGGCAAGGGAGAGAGCCAGGTCCTGTTGGGTGGGGAATCCGGGTCTCTTCAGCTGCTAGTGGGGTGTCCCAGGAGGGCTCTGTCTGAAGTCACCCCACCCAGCGTGACTGCACAGAGAGGTCTGACCTTCACTGTG